TCAATATTCAACAAATTTACATAGAAAGTAGGTACATAAATCATGGATCACTTTGAACTAAATATCTCCAAATTATTTTAAAATGAAATAAACAAAAGAAGAACCTTATCGCTTGGTTTAGACTTAATGTTCTTAAGAAACATGGGCCATGCTTGCTTCTGTATAGGGGATGGTGTGTCAAAATTTTGCTTCCCTATTTTACTCAGCAGTTCAGGATAATCTTTAAAACAATGTTCACTTTTCCATATTGGTTTTAGTATTTCATGACACATTATATCCTTATCAGTTATGAAACGAGAAACGGTGATTTTATTGCTCAAAGAACGCAATTTATTTGCTTCCAGTTCAGTCATTACTGCAATTTTCTCTACTTCTTGATAAAAACTTTTTCTCAGTTCTGGAATTGAGCCAACCTTACTTCACGACATTCTTCCTATAAAAAAAATATTTCATATATAAATAAAAATAATATAATCTCGTTTTCGTTTATATATTCTACAAATGTTTCTTACAGCTTTCTTATTGATGCTTTATTCTCAGCACTACCAACACCCAAATTTTTCGTATTGGGATTCAGATTGTTACCATCTTTCTCATTCTCAAAGATGATTTTGAATTGCGTTTTTTGCCAATAATACTATTGTATATAGTTTAAAGTTGCAGTCTCGTGATTTCCAAGCTGAACGTCTTTATTTCCGGACGAATCTTGAATGGTTATGTTAAGATTTCAAGGTGTAGAATTTTTATTCATCTCATAAGACAGCATATCACCAATAACTCCAATGGCATCAGTAATTTTCTTTCTAACCCCAAATAGTAATTTTATTGCGAAACTTGTGTATGTGAACTTGGACATCATACTTGACATTAATTTCATTTATCTTTCGAATTACTGCGCCGACATGAGCCGCATCGCAATGAAATACTTCAAGAATAACACAAACTCTTCTATACTCGTTCCGTTCAGATTGAGCTGCACAAACTGGGGAAAAGAACAGATTATTGGATTATTGAATAGGAAACGTTTTCACAAAGTTGACAATAAATTCAAAAAATTTGATAAATATATGAAAAACGATATGAAATATAATTCCTGAAGCACGATCAAAGCGAACCTCGATATAGAGAGTAATAGCAGACTTTTTTCATGGATCGTTGTTTAATTGTTGTTTGAATTTAAATAAGAAATTATACTTTTACTTTCTGTAATCTGATTTCGTGAGGATTGGATTAAAATGGTACAGAGAAAATACTCTACATACACATTATACATCTAATACTATAAAATACATATACATCCAATACATTATATATAATAAATACCGCATAATACAAAAAGGTGTTTTCTTATAAGTGATGACGTTGAGAAATTGAAATGTACTAAACGTTTTTGTTCTCTATCAATACCAATGTTGTTTCACAGACGCTTTTACCAATCCAATAAAACCAAACGTCCTTACTTGGTCAACAGTTTTAATTATTAAAGGTTACGACGCCATTTACCATTTACAACGTGGTGTTGCAATAAACCTATTTCACACATCCTGGACAGCTCGGATATACCGTTTCAAAAACTTTGCAATTCAATAAGTCTTCCAATTGGCCGTATAACATCACCCTGAAGAGTATATAGATTTTCAACACGTACCAGTCTAAGGTTGCTATAAATATGGAATTACCATTAATAATACGTTTTATTAATTTCTTATAAGAAATGATGTTCGAAATGATATATATGATATTTGGTTTAGTGAAAAATATGTAAACTTAAGTAATGCTCTGATATGTAGGAATACATGTATGTCGGGGTCTTATAAATTTTTTAATTTGTTAATTAACGTATGAGTCTGAATAAATTTCAAAAAGTGAAAAAAGTTTCAAATTTTGAAACAAGATAAAGAAGTTTGCTTACGTATGTAGCAGCTTCACCATTTATTGAACGAATTCTCATAATAACACCTATTGAAAGTCGAATATTTGAAAGATAATTATTGAATTAAAAGTAGAGCAATCTCGGGGATAAGAATCTTCAGGTTAATATTCAGAAGATCGAGTATCAAATCGAAAATATTTTACACAGTTAAGTTTCCGTATTGTTGGTATGTCTATCGGAGGAGCTCTCTACGTCAAACACCAGGAATATGCGTGATGTCCAAAGGAACGTTCCACTGATCAATATGTGCTATAGGCGTTAGAATCGACAGCCAACTATTCAAAACAACGAAATCTTTTCTCTCCGACTTAATCCGACTCAAATGACAAATTTTATATAAATAAATAAATAATGTGAAATCGTTACTATTAGAAAATTGATCTAAATTATTCTACTTTAACCATTTTTTCCAAAATACACAAAAACCATTTCTTGTGAAAATTTTACGAGTAAATAGAAGTCTCATTTCTAACCTAACCTTCAAAAATTGCACTTCCAATGTGTTCGGTTCGCGTGCCATAATTTTAAATTTTGTTTTATTCAATAACTATATTTCAATGCAAACTTGTAAAACGTGCCTTGTAAGATTCTTTATTTATTCTTTATTACAACTTTTTCATAAAAGTTTTAGAAAGAATTACATTGTTTTAAATTTTTAGCCGATGGCCTAAAAAATCGTCTTCAGCCAGTTCGGAATCGAATTAATAACTTTTACTTACAATTGACGTTTATTTGCATCACAGAAAGAAATGTTACACTAACTTCTTCGGACACTTCGGACACTGAATCAACCGAAACCTACTCGTCTTCCGAACAACTAACCAATGACGACAACAAACTTTTGTAGTTGTAGTTCTCAAATAGATATTTCTAGAAAATTGACACGCCATACAGTACGTCCGAATATCTGCTTAAATTTGTTGCAACTGTACTAATTTAGTCTAAACGAACAAATATGTCCCGCACTTTATCTTATCCAATTTGTACCACATAAACATAATCACAATATTATATAAAAAAAATTTAAGATATTTATTAAAAGACGTATAGTATATATAGTTGCAATTGCTACTGAATTGTCACTGAACATTCATACAGACTATAATAGATGCGCGAGCATTTCTCAATAAATTGGAAATTTCCAATATTTTTTCAGTAAGTTTGCCAACTTGAATTTGTCTGTCGAAAATCTGAAACCTAACGATGATTCTAACGTTTTTCCTATTCATACTTTTATACAGACAATTGAATGCATTGTTTACTATACCAACTATACCATACGGATATGTTGTAGAGGTGATCGTACTATATATTATCGTTGATCGGAATATTTGTTGAGAATATTTGTTGTCAAAGTAACACCGTGTTTCCACTGCTTACAATACATTTTCACTGTTCCAGTTAGACAGTTGCTAATTTATATTAATGAGTGAACGTTCACATTGGAATGAGCTTCTTTATGCAGTTGATAGAACTTTTAAAAACTTTTATAAACTACATAATAATATATAACACAAAAAAAATATTTATAATTGATACATTAAATCATTTATATACATATATGTATCAATTACGTATTCAATAAATAAAAACAAAGATTTTATTAAATATTTGCCTCCTCAGTACCTTTGTTTACAGCTCAGCTGTTTTTTGTTTACATTTTATATATAAAACATATGACACATTCTCTAAATTTTGGTAATTTCTCTTGTATTAGATTCATTTTTTAGGGTTACTTTCGACATTTTTCACTTCAAATAATCTGATTTATTGATAATAATCTCATTTATATAAGAGATTTTTGTATGATAAATCATTCTCATTAGTGGGTATGATGAGCAAATCCACCTAAATGAGACAGTGTGAATGTGCTATTCATAGTAGGTGTAACTAATATTATGCTTTTATGCTTATTTGGTAAATTTAACTTACTAAATAAATATCATCCACCATACAAATAACTTTACACAAATTTTATGCTTTTAACTTACTTAAAAATAAGGTAAAATAAAATAAACTTGAAAATAGAATTAAATATTTGTCGTATGTTTCACATGTGAAACGTAAACAAACAACAGCTGATCTGTAAACAAACGAACAAAATAGTGAGTATTCAATAAAATCTTTGATATTATTAATTAAATATGTAATAGATTTATAAATAAATAATTTAAATAGATAATTTAATATATAAATAATTTAATATATCAACTATTATTGAATTTTTTTGTGTGACGTTATATTATGTCAAGTTTATTTCAACAAACATAAGCTCTTTTAGAACTTTTAAAGAACTTTCTGATACATAAAAGCTCTTTCACATGCAATAAGTAACTTACTATATGTCAATGAAAACTGCAAAATTGAAAGGTTACTTAAGTAACTTACTAGATAAGCAGTGTAAACATGGTACAACTCACAACTAAAAAATTGATTTAGAATTTATATCTGTGTTCACACCCAACGGCAGTAATAACAAAAAATAATTTCAATAATAACTTGAAATTTATCTTTATCTCACTCACTTTATCTTGTTATTTAAGTCCTATTGGTTTCGTGTACTGAAACCGGAAAACCAGTAAAAACTAAAACAAATTTCACTCATAGCTCACTTATATTATTACAATGTTGCAGTTAGTGGATTAAAAGTTCAATCATGCTTTGATCTTGGTGATGTTGAAAAGGTGATGGAGATGGTGATATATACGAATTTTTTTGCTTCTGGCATTTCTTATTTTTTTGATGTCTTTTTACATTTAAATTTACACTTACAAGAACAATGAACAGCAAAAGTAAGAAATTAACACGCAAGTTGTAAATACCAAATTAAATGTTCAAAATAAATTACTTATCAAAATGCTTATCATTTCAATCTACAGTATAGCAAGCTTCATCAAGTATAGCATCAAGTATAGCTTGAAGTATAGAATCAAGTGCATCAAGAAGTAATGAACTAAATTAATCCCTAAATATTAATCAAGTTCGCAGGGGCTTTTACACAAGAACATTAAATTAAAAATTATTATTAGATAATTCAATTATTAAATTGGTATAACATATTTGAATTTAAATACTAGTCTTTACTAAACTTTACTACTACAAATGTCAAATGCAACCCTGGTCTATAGAGTCGTGCGTGCGACTGGCTTTTCTTGAGATGTACTGACGTAGCTACAAGCAAGTTTTGAAGCGGTGGTTAGTTTTTAATGCTGAAAATTTTTTCGTAAAGTATTAAATTACTTAAATTAAATTAAGTAAAAACTGTCATGGAAAATGAAAGTGATGAAAGTGACGAAGAACTACTCACAGGCCTCTCTTTTCGTACGTCAGAAAATAAATCAAATTTGCTGGAAGAGGCGTTAAGACTGAATGCAATGTTAATAGAAGAATTAGAAAATTTTAGAAATCGGTTTGCGTCGCTATTGGCGCAGGTTCGACAGCGTCTAAAAATCAATGCAAAATTGATAAAAACCATTAATAAAAAGTCAAACAATGGAGATGCCACATTGAATCTGGGAGGCAACATATTTTTTAAAGATTTATCTGGGCAAGGCGGGCGTTCTGACAATCAGTCCTTTAAACAATGCAAATTACCAAATCGTTTAAAAAAATGGAATCTGAAACAAGATGAAATGCTTATAAAGTTAGTAAAAAAAAATACCACCAATAATGTTACTGATTGGACAAAAGTAACATCTTATTTTAGGTTCAAACCTAAAGGTGATGTTATAGCGCGTTACACTACTATATTAAAGCCAAATATCAATCATAGTAAGTATAAGTATATAAAAAAATAATTAAAATAATATAACATATAATGGGTAAATATTTTTAGGGCCATTTTCACCAGAAGAAGATCTCCAAATTATTGCTCTTGTTAAAAAGTATGGAGAAAGATTTAAGACTATGCCACGTGAAATGTTTCCTCTCAATCGCACTATTCTACAAGTACGTAATCGCTACTTAAATACCCTGAAGCATCGGCATACAAATACAACGTGGACGTACGAAGATGACGTTAAATTAGAAAAGTTTATAAAAGAACATGGTACATCGAGTTGGTTGCAATGTGCAGAATTGCTCGGTAACCATACACGTACTAGTTGTCGTACACGTTATTTAACAATGGAAAAATTTTATGCAAAAAATCCAAATTCCACTGTTAAAGACTTGCCACGGCATAAAGTTTTGAAAAGTGATAACTTGATTAGAACTGATATTTATCAAACTCAAGTTAAATTAGTAGAAACTGGAGAAGCCGATAAATTAAAATATCAGTCACAGTCACAGTCACTTAGAACTAAGAAGAAATTAGAAGGATCGATAAGATATTCCAAGGAAGAGAAAGAGAAACATTTATTGGAAACATTGCAGTCATTGGAATTAGAAATGCAAGAGCGTTTTAAATTTGGTCATGACTACAGTGTGTTCAATGCTTGTTGTACAATGTGGCCTATAAGTATTTTAGCTAAAAATATTGTAGCCAGTACTTTAAAAGTACCTACTCCAACACTAATAGACCATTTGCTGCTAACTAAAATTCCATTACGGTTACGAGAAACAGTAGCAGAGGAGATGCAAATATCCAATAAAAGTTTAGATTGCCTGCCACCTAATTACTCATCAACAATTGGATATAGAGCACTCTGTTTGTTAGGAGACGTTTCTACTGCTAATACGAATGAGAAAAATCAAAATCAAAAAATAGATCAAAGTGGGGCTGTAAAACTCTTTAAAGAGCGACTAATGTCAACGTTTTTTAGCGTTGCTGTAACATGTGCTTTGAATCCAACAAAACTAAACGTAAAACCACTTTGTTTAAAGAATGAAGATGATCCATATCAAACTTATAAAGAAAGAGTCGTTTATTGCAATAGATATTACATAATACCAACAGATGTGGAAGAAGCACATAAACAAAATAATGAGATCACCAGTAACTCACGTGTAACTTCAAATAAAGAATATTGTTCCAGCTTAGCTGTTGATTGTGAAGCTGAATCAACATCAACTGAAGAACCACTTTTGAAAAGCAGAATATCTATGAAAAACGACATATCTTCAGACGATATAACAAATCCATCTCAAACTGCTAATGCAAGTCTTATATATATTCCGATATCACCGAACACCGGCGGAGTATCTGAAAGATTAGAAATGCCATCATGTAGTTTAGAGCAGCAGCAGCAACCTGGTACTAGTGCGAATAAAAGCTTAAAACGAAAAAGGGATTTCGTAATACCAAAAGATGTGGATGAAGCACATAAACAAAATAATGAGATCACCAGTAACTCACGGGTAACTTCAAATAAAGAATATTGTTCCAGCTTAGCTGTTGATTGTGAAGCTGAATCAACATCAACTGAAGAACCACTTTTGAAAAGCAGAATATCTATGAAAAACGACATATCTTCAGACGATATAACAAATCCATCTCAAACTGCTAATGCAAGTCTTATATATATTCCGATATCACCGAATACCGGCGGAGTATCTGAAAGATTAGAAATGCCGTCATGTAGTTTAGAGCAGCAGCAGCAACCTGGTACTAATGCGAATAAAAGCTTAAAACGGAAAAGGGATTTCGTAATACCAAAAGATGTGGATGAAGCACATAAACAAAATAA